AGCTGTAACAACTCAGAGATACCCATGGTCTTCTGGAACCTTCCACTCCCCCTCTTCCCTCTGACTCCATCCCCTCTCCCAACCCCACCTCCTGTTGGGTATTCACCATCCCTCTTAACCCTCCGCTCTCCGATGCTGAGCGTTCTGTACTCAGCAAAGGCCTCAGCTTTATTCCTCTGCATCCCCACCTTAACGTATTTCAGGCACGACATGACGTCGAACTCTTCTTCCGCCGTCTTCGCCTCCATGATCATTTCTTTGGACAAGAGGACTCTCCCCATCCCGCAGACCCCTTTGCCCGGTTCCAACACTCTCCCTCCACCTGGATCCCTCCCTCCGGCCTTTTACCTGCATTCAATCTTTTCATTGAGAACTGTCAACATGTTATTAGTCGCCTCAATTTCTCTGCCCTCCTCACCAAATCCAACCTATCTCCCTCCAAACTGACTGCACTCTGTGCACTTAGATCTAACTCTGACTTTGTTATTAAGCCTGCTGATAAGGGTGGTGCTGTTGTAGTCTGGCATCCTGACCTCTACAATGCAGAGGTTGAGCGCCAGCTCTCAGATACGTCCTCCTATCTTCCCCTGGACCATGACCCCACCATGGCACATCAGGCCATTGTATCGACTACAGTAACTGATCTCATTTCATCTGGTCTCACCCCCCTGCCTCCAAACTGATAGTCCCTTAGCTTCGCACAGCTCACTTCTACCTCCTTCCAAAAATCCACAAAAAGGACTTTCCAGGCAGACCCATTGTTTCAGCCTGCTCCTGCCCCATGGAACTCATCTATTCCCAATTTGACCCAGTCCATGATTCCTCTGATGCCTTATGCCGGCTTCAAAACTTCCAGTTTGCAGGTTCCAGCCACCTCCTCTTTACCATAGATGCACAATCCCTTTACACGTCCATTCCTCACCAGGAGGGTCTGAGGGCTCTCCGCTTCTTCTTGGAGCAAAGACCTGAACCATCCCCACCCACCACCACCCTCCTCCACTTGACTGAGCTTGTCCTCAACCTCAACAATTTCTCTTTTAACTCCTCTCAATTTCTACAGGTCAGAGTGATGGCCATGGGTACCCACACGGGCCCCAGTTATGCCTGTCTCTTCATGCGGTACGTGGAACATTCCTTGTTCCAGTCCTATTCCGGCCCCCACCCACAACTCCTTCTTCGATACATCGATGATATCATCGCTGCTGCTTCCCTCTCTCGTTTGGAATTGGAAAAGTTAATTGATTTTGCTTCCAATTTCCATCCTGCCCTCTCTTTCACCTGGTCTATCTCGGACTCCTCCCCTCCATTCTTCAACATGTCTGTTTCCATTTCTGGGGATAGACTGGCCACTGATATCCACTATAAACCCCCTGACTCCCGCAGCTACCTGGACTATACATCCTCACACCCTGCATCCTGTAAAGACTCCATCCCATTCTCTCAGTTCCTCTGTCTCTGTCGTACATGTTCAGATGAGGCCAACTTCGACAAGGGAGCCTCCAAAATGTCCACTTTCTTCCTCAGTCGAGGATTCCCCAGCTCCGTTGTCGACAGGGGCTTCAACCAGGTCCGACCCATCTCCTGCACTTCCGCCCTCACCCCTTCTCTTCCCTCCCGCAACAGCGATAGGGTTTCCCTTGTCCTTACCTTCCATCCCACCAGCATCCACATCCAGAAGATCATCAGACGCCATTTCCACCACATCCAGTGAGATGCCACCACCAGACACATATTCCCTTCCCCACACTTGTCCGCCTTCTGCAGGGACTGTTCCCTCAGGGTCACCCTGGTCCACTCTTCCTTCACCCTCAACACCCCCTCCACAGCCCTACAGCATCTTCCCCTGTAATTGGCAAAGGTGCAACACCTGCCCATTTACCTCCGCCCTCCCCAGTATCCAAGGGCCCAAACATACCTTCAAGGTGAAGCAACACTTCACCTGCACTTCCCAGAATCTAGTCTACTACCTCCGCTGCTCACAATGTGGTCTCCACTACATTGGGGAAACAAAGCATAGACTAGGTGACTGCTTCACAGAACATCTACGTTCTGCTTGCAAAAAAGGCCCTGAATTACCTGTTACCTGACACTTTAATGCACCACACTGTTCCATGACCAACATCTCTGTCTCTGGCTTGCTGCAGTGTTCCAGCGAAGCTCAGCCCAAGCTGGCAGAACAGCACCTCATTTGCAGCTAGGGGACCCTGCAGCCCTCCGGACTCAATATCGAGTTCAATAATTTTAGGGCCTAAACTCCCCCATGTCCCAGCCCCCAACCCCACACACCAGGCCTTGTTACCACATAGCCTGCCATTACACACCACCTGTTGTTAATCACTAACCATCTCCATTAACAACTATTCACCCTCCCAGTCAGATTGTTATCAACTCCTTTGTCTGTCCAACTGTTCTTCTCTCTCTTAATGCTCTATCCTATTGTTTACTCCCTACCCCACTCCCTCTCCCTATTTTCTGCATATAAACTGACATTTTCCCAGCCCCCATCAGTTCTGAGGAAGGGTGACTGGACCTGAAATGTTAACTCTGATTTTTTCTTCACAGATGTGCCAGACCTGCTCAGCTTTTCCAGCAACTTCTGTTTTTGGTCCTGCTTTAGAATTAGTTCAGGGATGAGAAGAGATGAAAAAATTTTCCTGCAATTTGGGTCTGCAATAAATGTAAATATAGATGTGTGCAATTCTTAGGTGACCTCAGATACAATTAATGACTTGAAACATGTTATTCTGCATTTCCCTCTTTTAAGAATAGCGTTATAATGCATAAACTAGTTAACCCTTTCCATGCTAAGGACAATTTCTTATTAAGACGAAAAATTTGAATTTCACTTCTGGCAAACTCCACAAGATACACAGAATCAGTTTAACCAGCCTATGCCAACCTTTACCATCCTCCATACAAGCATGAACCTCATCCATGATACCACTCAGTTTCTATATACTTTTATCTTTCTTTTTTCCAATTGCTGAATTAACCTGTCCTAGAGTCATAAGAAGCTTTTTGTTTCAGTCACTAACTCAGTTCATGCATTCCACACCCTTACAACCTACTGTCCAAAAAAGACTTTCTCCCGCTTTCTAGTCTAAGTCTTACATTTAATCTCAAAGTTACACTCCCTTTGTCTAACCTCTAAATCACTGGAAGCAATCTATATTTATACAAACCTCATTCACTCAGAAGCAATCGCCACCTTAATACAATGTCTCCTAAATTATTCCAAAATTGTTGCTTCCTGTACCCTGGAGGGAATCCCGTCCTCACGCATCAGCTGATTGATCTGGTTATAGTCTCATCTTCACTTTCCTACTTATATCCTTTAATGCCTTATTTATCAAAAATCTGTCTAACTCAGCCTTGATAGGAACACTATGAAGAATGCTTCTGCAATCCCTACCTAGCACTTAAAAAAAAAAATCCATTCATGGGATATTGGTGTCACTGGTTATGCCAACATGTATTGCCCACACCTAATAGCCCAGAGCATACTTAACAATCAATCACATTGATCTGGGTCTGGACAGCAATTAATAAATGGTGAGCAAAATTCACTTTTTGCCGTGGTAGGCTTTGAACCACAATGCTACCACCTCCCCTTTATTGCTTTTCTCCTACAGTGAATTCTATGATGCAGATAGAAATTGTGCTCTGTCCTGAGTCCCAGAGTTGCTTTGTGCAAACTATCAAGGCCAGGTTTCGACTTCTGGTACTATGACCACTGCGAGTACAAAAAAGATAGAGATTCATTTGGGCAACAAGTCAATGGATGGAGCATGAACCTGCCAATTTGCTGCTCAGGAAACGAGAAGTGGACAGATTTACATAAGTGAAGTGGGATGGTTATATTTCTGTTCCTCAGGATTTCATTAAGTTGCAGTCTAATCTCAGTAGAGGCAGCAGTTGTTGCTATTCGGAGTCTCAGGATTTTCTTTATGAGTTATCCAATATAAACCTTACTTCCATATAAAAGCTGACATAATACTATTTGCAACATAGCAGTCACTGTGTTATTAGAGATGTTCAACTTCAAGCACGAGGTCTACTCATCCCTAGATGTTAAAACCAGGCCCTCAAGACAGCAGCTTTAAAACACATGGTTTTGGCAGCCCCTTTAGGAGGCTGAACGTACCTTCATCCACTGACTGCTACAAGAAATTCAAATTTCACAAGATTGAAATCAAATCCTGTCTGTGGAGTGCGAGAACCTGATGAAATGCTGAGGGGTTCAAAATCACAAAAGAAGTTGCTTATTCTGAGAATGGTGAGAAAGAAAATAAAGTAGCAACAGAGCAGGGACTGATCATAATTATTTTTCATGTATTTCAAGTTCTTTCCATTTAGAGGAGATAACTAACAGCATGGAAATAGGAGCAGGCCCCTCAAACTTGTTCTAACGTTCAATCAGATCATGGTTGATGTATAAACTAATGATGGGATCAGAGTTAAACGGGAAAATGCATAAAGCAGGACATATGAAGCGTCAAGTCAAATGCCAATATGTAAAACACGGTAAACATCACAAACGAGTAATTGTTTTCATCTTTTCATGGTACGTGGAAGATGCTGGCAAGGCCATCAGTTGATACCCATTATTGATCTCCCTCAAAGAGGTAATGGTGGACTGCATTCTTGAACCATCGCAGTCCATTTGGTGCAGATACACTGACAATGTTGATGGGGGAGAAGTTCCAGGATTTTGACTCAGTGACCATAAAGAAACAGCGATATATTTCCAAGTCAAGACGGTGTATGGTTTGGAGGGGAACATGCATGGTGATGGTAATGCCATATATCCACTGCCCTTGTCCTTCCAGGCGATAATGATCACATTTGGAAGGTAGCGCATTATTGCAGTGCATCTTGTCAATGGTACACACTGATACCACTGTGCCTTGGCAGTGAAGAGAATGAACATTTAAGGTGAAGGATAGGTGGCATCAAGTTGTGTCTCAAAGTTGACAATGATGAGATGAGAGGAGAAAATCTAATTTTAACATTTTATAGCGTTAACACAGAGAATTGATGACAATAATTCATCATATGACAAACCAGGTCTTTACATTCCTTTGTTTGTAAGGGACTTCAGTCCTGCTAGCGAGACTGTTTTTCTACTTGTCCAAACATCACAAAATATCATAATTGAAACCATAAACTGATAGCTGGTGCTGAAACCTTTTCTGGTCCAATATGATACAACAGTAGCACATACAATTCCAGAGATCAAAGTGTATCATCTGTCTTTTGGGGGATTGGGTTTAATCCTCCGCTTGTGGTACCTTGAAACAAAAAACAGAGAGATTTTAATTCCTTCACGGATCAACAAAATTGCAAATGAAGTGCAAGACATAAGTTCTGATGCCTCCATTGTTAAACCTTCTCCATTGTAATTCTTTGATGTAAAAACACGAAACCTCCATCTAACTGAAAACAATATGTGGATAAAACAATTGAATAGAAGTAGGCACTAAAATAAAACAAAGAACTGCAGATGCTGAAGATCTGAAACAGAAACAGAAATTGCTGGAGAAACTCAGCAGATCTGGCAGCATTGTGGAGAGAAAGCAGAGTTAAAGGTTCAAGTCCAATTCTCTTTTTCAATAGGAGTAGATAGGTGGCTTTTAGTGTGGAAGTGTTAGGTTGTGCACTTTTGACCAGAGTGTATGAAATCAGCTGCTAGACATGGTGGTGGAAGCTGGTACAATTACAACATTTAAAAGGCATCTGGTTGGGTACTTGAATAGGAAGGGTTTACAGGGATATGGGCCAAATACTGGCAAATGAGACTAGATTAATTTAGGATATCTGATCGGCATGGATGAGTTGGATCGAAGAGTTTGTTTCCATGCTGTACGTCTCTATGACTTTGTGAGATCAGAATATTTTCTAAATGGCAAGAAGTTATAGAGAAACGGAGAGACTAAGAGATCAAAGTAGAGAAATCACTAAAAGCCAGTGGACAGACACAAAAATAACAGCTAATGGAAAGTTGGCCTTTATCTCAAGAAGGCTGAAAGTTCTGTTAGTGTTGTGCAAACTTCTGGTTAAATCCCCTGTGGAATACTGCATTTAGAATTGGGTACCACACCCGAGATAGGATATACTATTGAAGATTAACACATCCACCAGAATGACACTGGAGCTACAAGGGTGAAAGTCCCAAAGTCTTAATTTTCTATATTTAAGGGAAATGAAATGAAGAGGTGATACAATTGCTGTGTTTAAAGTGATTAAGAGATTTGAAAGAGTAGTTGGAGAGAACCCCATTTCCTGGGATGGGAAAGTCCAAAACAACGGAGAATAAACCCATTATAAACTATCTTAATATAAAATGCACAAACTTAGTCTTGCCGCTCTCAAATGGTGTGGAAAAATACTTTATGAACCCTACACATCTGCTCAGATTGGACTGAGAATTGATATTCTTCTGCTGAATACAGCTTTAATGACTACTGTAGAGAAGATTTCATTTCACATTTCTCATAAATACTGAGGCCAGACATCATTGAGTGAATACTCCATGAAGAAGCATGAATGACACTTACTGCCCAATTGGATACCAGCGGTGTTTTGTTGTATAGAACATTTTACTGAGCTCTTCAATTGTAGGGGCCTGTTTATCACGCAGCACTTCCTTATCCAACCTGGCCTTCAGTACCTGGTCATGGGTCTCCTCCTTGTTCTCTGCAGGGGAAGGTCGTGTAATAGGCTGCAAAACAGAATGCAAATCAAATCCGGAAGAGGCTGTCACCTTAGTTCTGATACTTGACCGATAAAGGAATTAGTTGTGAATTAATTTCTAGGACCCTGTTTTACGTAGGAAAAGAACACAAAATAGAATAAAAAACAGTATGAGAAAGTAGTGAAAACCATTACACAAACACTCAGGCCTCTGTAGATTCCCTGCCTTCAGCTACCTAGCTCCATTGTTAAATTTCCTCAATTTCTTTCCTAATATCATAAGACCATAAGACAAAGGAGCAGAAGTAAACCATTCAGCCTGTTAGGTGTTTCATTAAAAATAATTGGAGCTGCAGGACAAAAATCTTAAAATTCACTCCAATAATCAATGAACAGCTTTAGCAAGCCATTAGTATTTTACATTCCATTCCCTTTGAAATAAAGGCCAATATTCCATCTGCATTCTGCAGTTTCTCTCCATTTAAATAATGTTCATCTTCTCTATTCTTCCGGTCAAAGAGCATAACCTCACATTTTCCTACATTATATTCCATCTACCAGGTTTTTGCCCATTCACTTAACTGCCTGTATCCCTCTATGTGTTATCCTCAGCACCTGCCTTCCCATCTATTTTTGTGTCATTCAAAAACTTGACTATAATACATTCACTTTCCTCATCTAGATCATTTGTATTGTACGTAACTGAGGCCCCAAGACTGATCCCTGTGGAACTCCACTCGTTCCATTCTAAAATTACGCCTCTTGTCTATATCCTATTAACATTACTGGGGGCTGATTATAAGAATGGGAGAAAATAGATGGAAGACTATTTTGACTTGGGCTCATTGCAGGAAAATAAACAGTACGTCATCACGATTCAAACTCATCAGGAGTTATCATTGGGTGTCAAGTAACAGTTTATCATAAATATACATCACTACAACATAAATTCTTCAACTTTTCCACAAAAACCCTCAATGTAAGAATCCACAGTGTTCTACCTTGGTGTGTTCGTATGGGATGTCCACTGACGGGTGGTAACAAACTATTGTTCGCCCATCTGATGTGATCGCAAGGTCAACTTTACTGTCAAGAGATGAGAGTTGTTTCAGTGAGAATTCAAAAGCTGTAACACAGGAATGTGACCAATCAGGAATGCAGTTACTCACCAATTATAGTCATTGGCAAGAGCAGTATATGTAGACTTGTGACAGACACAATGCCCATCTCCACCTATACAAGGTAGCACAACTTACAATTAGTCATGTTCCCCATCATCATCAAGATATCTTTATTCATTTTCTTATCATTGTAAAAATGGATTTTTGTAAAGAAACAAAGTCTTATATTTCTGTGGGGGTTTTTAAATATCAAAACACTTTGCAGCCACTGGGGAGCTTTTAAAATGTAATCCCTGTTTTGTAGGTAACAAAGCAGCCAATTTGCCCAGAGCAAACTACCATAAACAACGATCATAACAAAATATGATCATAACCAGATAATCTGTTTTTGTGATGTTGATTAAGGGAAAAATATTGGCCAAAATTTTTTTATTTATTCACTCGTGGGACATCAGCATCAGTGACTGGCCAGCATTTATTGCCCATCCCTAGTTGCCCTTGAGAAGGTGGTGATGAGCTGTCTCCTTGAACTGTTGCAGTCCATGTGCTCTAGGTAGACCCACAATGGCCTGAGGGAGTGTATTCCAGGATTCTGACCCAATGATAGTGAAGGAACAGTGATATATTTCAGGATAGTGAGTGGGTTGAAGTGAACTTGCAGGTGGGTGTTCCCATGTCTCTGCTGCTCTGGTCCTTCTAGATGGAAGTGGTCGTGGGTTTGGAAGGGGTTGTCTAAGGATCTTTGGTGAATTTCTGCAGTGCATCTTGTAGATAGTACACACTGCTGCTACAGAGCGTCGGTGGTGAACCGAGTGGATTTTTGTGGATGTGGTGCCAGTCAAGCAGAATGATTTGTCCTGGATGGTTTCAAGCTTCTTCAACGTTGCTGGAGCTACACCCATCCAGGCAATTTTCCCAGCTTATCTTTGAAATTGTGACGAAATGTCTGTACAATAACCAGCCAGCTCAGCGAGCAAGCCAACAACCTCAAAAAGACAAGAAGCAAACAAAGTGGACGTTGGAGATGAGGACAGATCTTTTGACCCTATGTTAGGAGACAGGACCATTAAAGACTGTTGTAAGGACGCCCCAGGGCAGATGTGAGAAGACTCCAAGAAGATAGCAGAGGTTTCAAATGGCAACTTTGCATTGGTCATCACTAGGATTGAACATGGGATAGAAATTGTCAGAGTAAATACTGGCAAAGGTCCTGCCTCGAATGAGGAACTTTGAAATAAATCAGGCTGCTAACCCTGAGGACATTTATTCAAGGATGCTGAAACAGGTGGTGTCTTTAGTCTGTGCTCCCCTTACTCATATTGAGTTGTTCAGAGACTTAATTTTATGTTTTGCATTGGATATCATTGAAGATGTCCAGACTGAGAATCCAGGAGAAGAATCCAGACAGACAGCAGAGCAGAGGTTCAACAGATAGGAAGAACAGATGGATTTCATAATTAGTCTGGACATTTAATAGCATGTGCAAAAACAAAAAGAATAAAGGTGAGAAGGAGTGGAAAATCAGACTGAGCAGTAAAGCAGCACATTAATAGCAAACATATAACGGTGAAGGAAATACAAACTATGCTGAATTCAGAGGTACAATATAAAGAAGCTCGGGTGGAATATAGACTGATTGGACAAAATGGTCTGTTCCTGTGTTGTATATTCTAAACAATTCTGTGACTTAACTGCATGTGACTGAGTAGCTGAAGAAACAGTTGTTTAAAAATATTTTGCACAGCTGTGAATGGGTGGTAAATATCTACAACGCGTGATAGATCCAACCAAATATAAGTCATGGTACATTATTTCTACTAGGCAAAATTTTCATTTTCAATCTACATTTCAGTGCCAAGGGTCAAACAAACACTAAAGTATTCCTTTGGTGTTCTGAAACAGTCATATTGAATTTGAAAAGATCCCTCTCTCAGATACTGCTAGGCCTGCTGAGTTTCTCCAAGGCTTTGTGTTTTATTACTGCTTTGACTATCTGTCTGACTATCTTTCATAGATTCATACAGCACTGTCCAACACGTCCAGATTTTAGTATGATCAGTCTTCTGTCACTCTCTGGGATGTTACACTGAACTCTCTGGCTCCTTGAATAGTGCCCAAGCTATTGCCCATTTACCAGCAACTGAGTACTTCTACTTCCAATCATACTTAGTTCCGTTCCCTGATCTTCCCATTATATAGTTTATTTTGGATGCTACTTTCTGCTTGGTTGGAAAATTGCACAGCTTATCTTTCTCAGCAGCTTGCACAAGCCCACCTTAACCTCTCCCTTGATCTCCTCCACCTAGCTTGCTTCTGTTCTTAATAGAATGCTCCCTCACCTCCTACCATCACTGATTCCTGGCAGACAGGAGGCTGGAAGAACACAGCGAGCCAGGCAGCATCTGGAGGTAAGGAGAGTTCTCCAATTTCAAATATCCATCCCTTGGCTCCCCTTCCTGCCCCACCTCCTCCCTTCCAGCCACCAACCGGATTCATCCCTCCCGACGACCAACCAGGTCATACCTACTACCTCCAGATGCTGCCTGGATTGCTGCTGTGTTTTTCCAGCCTCCTGTCTGTCTACCTTGGATTCCAGCATCTGCAGCTTCTTTTTGTCTCCTGTCAGACCGATCCTTTCAATGTGTCGCCTATTCAGGTGGGCAGCAACCGAATAACAGCTGAATATCGTCCCCGTACCCCTCCAATCCCCACAGTCTGACAGAGACAGAGGTCTCTCGGTGAGGTGTCACGCCCTCCCACTCCATGGTAACCCTTAGTTTCTGAGCTCCCCGTGGCCCGAGAAAGGACCGGTAAAGCTGATACTTAACCCTAACCCCCGGGACTCGGTACCTATCGGCGTCGGCCCTTCGCCACGGGACAACAAGCGGCCGACAGCAGCCATCACCCGTCGTCTTCCTGCTGCCGCCGCCATGTTCGCTCCTACCGGAACTCGGTCCTTCCACAAACCGGTCCCCCGGCTTGGAACACAGTCAACCCCACCCGGGTTCCTGGAACATCGGTTCCGCTCCGATGGGGGAGGGGAAAAGGAGGGGAGCACTGTGTTCTGCCAATGGTGGTTTCCATGATTAATGGTTAGAGATAGGAGCATGACATTAGAATGCAACAGGTTACATTTCGAGGGAAAATGACTCTTTGACTTAAAAGATTGAAAAGACTGAAAATTAAATATCGACCCAGTCTCACAGTGGGATTTATCAGGAGAGAAAGGGAAGAGGTAAAAGAGTCTTGTCTGATGGCTGCAAGGCACATCATATCTTATTGATGGTGAAAGTACCTTAAATTCTGCACCATGTTTACTCCAGTTATGGTTGTCTTAGGATCATACCAGCAGTAGGTTGTTTGTGATTTTTGGTGAAGCCAATGATAGTTGTATTGCCTTGATACGGGGTGAAAAGTAAATGGGCAGGCGGCCTGTACTGACTAATTTAAAAGCAAAATACTGCAGATGTCAGCAGGAAGTTTGACTGAAACAAACTCTTATTTTCTGAGAATTATATAACCTCCTGAAAACCTTCCTCCCAACCAAAAGGCACCAACTTGCATGAACTTAAATTGAAATTAATTTTCCTATTACATGACAGTCTTGAAGTTTGTAAACGTCTTCTCGTATTTTGTCCATGTCCCTCTTTATTTATTACACTGACCAATTTCGTGCAACTTTTAAAATTGTATTACTTTGAAATTGTACTCCTGATGCTCAATACAAATGGTTTATGTAATTGGTGATTTTCTGAGCGCCACTGCTTGTGAAACACCATTTTCCATCTTTTGTGAATCTGTATTATTACACTTCCCCTCTTCTGTGTTTTCTGTTTTGAGAACAGCTAGCCATCCAATCTTGTACTTGATCTCTGACTACACGTGCTCTTACCATATCACAAGTCTACAATCCAATACGTCAACAAAAGCCTTTTGAAATCCAAATACCAGTTATCCTTGTTACTTAATAAGATCATAGCTGATCAGCATCCTAACTGCATCAATGTATCTTTTCCTCAGATTCTTTTCATCTTTGGTTAACAAAAAGCTATCAATCTCAGATTTAAAGATAACAATTGATCTAGCATAAACAGTCATAGAGTATACAGCACGGAAACAGACCCCTTCAGTCCGACTCGCCCAAACCAAATATAATCCAAAACTAAACTAGTCCCACCTGTCTGCTTCTGGCCCATATCCCTACAAACCTTTCCTATTCATGTAATTATCCAAATGTCTTTTAAACGTTGTAATTGTACCCACATCCACCACTTCTTCTGGAAGTTCATTTCACACATGAACTACTCCCTGTTTAAAAAAATTGCTTCTCATGTCTTTTTTAAATCTCTCTCCTCTCACCTTAAAAACATGCCCCCTAGACTTGAAACGCCACATCCTAGGGAAAAGACAACTGCCAGTAACTATCGATATCCCTCATTATTTTATAAATTTCAAACGGTCGCCTCTCTACCTCCTACACTCCAGTGAAAAAAGCCCTAGACTATTCAGCAATTGCAGTTTTGTAGTTTGTGGAAAAGAGACAAAACTCCTAACACCATTTGCGTGATGCATTGTACCCCAATTTCACCCTGAGAGGTCCTGTGTAATTTTTTAGATTCTACCTCCTAATCCTAGACTCCTTGACTGGGGGAAATAATTTCTCTCTCAACCTCTGCTTGTTCCTGAAAACTTTGATCGAGTCTTCAAAATCCCAGGGTATTGAATACAAATTTCTATCATGATTTACAGTGGTAGCACACTGGAAATCCAGCCCCGCTATTCCCAGAGTCTTAGTAAATGTTAAAAATGGTATCAAAGTCTACAAAGTCCACAATTTACCTGCCAGATAGACACAAGTTGACAGAAAACATGGATCAAGTTTCTGTACTTAACAAGAACTACTATTAATAACAATAAATAGGTCCTAACTAAAGGTAAACAACTATGAACTATCAGCACATAATTCCACTAGTTCAAAACTCTAATCCGCTTCTAAAATCCTTTTCAGTCACACAGTCAACACACAGTCAAACCAAAAACACTGGTGTATAAAATACTGGGGAAACAGTTCAATTTTCAGGATTCGATGGAGTGTTTCTGTTGTTTCCCAAGGAATTAAAAGATTCAATTTATCAACAAGCAGAATTTGATCGAATTTAAAACAAAATATACACATTTCCACATTTGATAATCGATTCCTGCATGTAAATAGAGGGGGATTTGTTACCAATTATTTTAATAACCAAACCCAAACATGCTTTATTGAGCTACAGAGGTGAAGAAGAATCAACTGTGGATGCATTACATTTACTTCTTTCTGTTTGAATTGTACTGATAACAGAGCAATCTTGGTGGCCAAATGGTATAATCTTTCAGAGATAGTAGGAACTGCAGATTTTCTGAAGAAGGGTCTAGGCCCGAAACGTCAGCTTTCCTGCTCCTCTGATGCTGCTTGGCCTGCTGTGTTCATCCAGCTCTACACCCTGGTATAATGAGAGACAACAAGGTGCAGGGCTGGATGAACACAGCAGGCCAAGCAGC